ACTCATTGTGCCGAACATTTATGGAAAGTTTCGTCAAGATCGGATGCACGGTGTCGGAGATAATTTCTGAGGGGGGGGGGCCCTTAATCAACCGTGAAAAAAGTCTGCATCTCACGTTAAAATAAAAGACTGAATTCTTTCTTTTTCTGCTTACCTGTCTGTCCAATTACAATTATGGTTCGATATTTTTCTAATAAATATAAAATATGATTTCGATAAGAAAAAATTGGCAAATGTTTTCGATGTTGTAGCATGGACATTGACGGTGACTGGTAGAGATCAACATTTTCTGATGATGTATCTTGACGATCAACTATGGCTGAAGAATGTTGGCGTGGTGGACGATTTCCAGGTTTCCAAAATTTTGGGGCTGTCGAAGATGATCCTGTTTGTTGCATTGTTCTATTTGTCGATCAAAATTCTATCTAAAAATGAAGAGGAAAAATATTAGTGAAAATATGAAATTATTTTAGATTTTAGCTTTCATAAGAAGTATATAGACCAGAGACCATTGCAGGGCAACTTTTTTCGTCCTGCCCTGTCAAAAAATTACTCATAAATTTTGTTGGTCCTTTCCTGTGCTGTCTGACGGGGCAAGAGGACACCCTGAAGTGCAAAAGAAAGTTTTTCCCCTTAACCTAGAAGACTTTATCTTCAAGAAACTCATCACTATTTTCCTTTGCAGCTGAAGGAGACCAGAAGAGAAATCTAGCTATCGCTGCGGCTATTCTTATTGCCAGTTTGTCAACTTTCTCTTTGTTAATCAAGTGATTAGATATAGAGTGAAGCCAATAGCAGTTTGACTTTTAACGATGGCTCATGTACTGTAAGAAAGAAAACAGAATTGAACGACTGTTGTTATCTTTGTTGTTCGATCTCAAAATTTTACTTAAAAAAAGCTTGAAAATCTCAAAAATTAGTCTCTCGCAGGGCAAATCAACGACTTTTTTTTGCCCTGTCCTGCAATAGTCTCTGATACAGACACATGCTAAAGCACAATAGATTTAAAAAAACGTTTACTTATTTACGTGTTGGAGAACCGTCAAACAGAGCATGATTTTTGTTAACGGGATTTAACACACACCATTTGCTCTTACATTCATCAGAAGTTGCAGTGATAACACACATCTTTCTAAGTTTAGCCCCATTCTGACATGTCTTAAAAGCTCTGATAACAGCACATACGTAGAAACGACCGTACTTCTCTACACATTTTCTCTAAAAATTTGAGTTAATAACCAACCACAAGAAGAGAGTCGTATGTATTTCTTGAAAAAGAGAAATGAGTACAAAAATAGCAGAGCACAAAAAAGAAGAAAAGAAACAAACAAAAAGAAAAATTATGTAAACTAGTTATGTTATCTGACTATTGTTTTCGACTGCTTAGTCAACATTGCTCGTACATTTTTGTTTTTACTTTATGGCTATATGACTTATGCCTTTTTCACACAATCGAGCTAACATAGCTGATAATTGTAATTGACTATCACAACCTTGACTTATACGCATACATGTCAAACCAATTTCCTAAACAGAAACAAAATCATATGCTTTCGTCATTATTTACATTTATACAATATTTATATAATTGAGAAAAGATTGATACGTATTATTATCTTTATACTATCGAAAAAACTTTAAACAGTTATATTAGAAAAAAGTAATCATAACATACTCGAATAAATTCTAATTGCATAAATTCAGTCATCTCAAATGTTTTTGTTACACGCATTGTTACTGATATAATATCTTGAGATGTATATCCAAGATGACATAAATGATTTAAAACATTATATGCTCCATCTAAATCACCTTTTGTACACGATGCTATCATATCTTTAACGAGTAAAGGATGAGGTTCATCACACACCTTTCAATAACAAAAAGAAACAAAATAACACAAAAAAGTATTTCATAAAAACAACAAAAAACTTACTTTAAAAACATTTTCGCTGTTCACCATACCAAAACCAAAGGTTGTCGATTGTAAATTATTTATCGCCTGAAGAAATTCAAAAAGATAGTCAGATAATTTTTAAGACATTCATATTGATTTTATATCCTACCTGCCTCATATCACCTTGTGCTGTAAAAATAATTGCTTCAATTCCATCATTTAAATATTTAATATTTTCTTCTTTACATATTTCCATCAAACGTTTTAGAATTTGCGCATCATTTAATTTTGAATAACGCAACATGGCACAACGAGATTGAATTGGCTCTAATTAACAAAATACAACGCCAAACATTTAAATTTTTAGATTAAAGAAAACATAAGATTTAAGATAACTTTAGATATTTACCAATAATCTGATCTGATTGATTGCAAGCCAAAGCAAAACGTGTTGTTTTTGAAAACAATTCCATAGTACGACGAAGAGCTTGCTGGGCGCCATCTGTCATACTAATAAAAAACAAAAAAACAACTAAATTTATACCTACGACGAATAGTATAGTAGGTCTTATCAGTGAGAAGATATCGTTTTAAATGTTTTAACCATATTTTCTCCTTTGAAACAACTGATTACCTATCTGCTTCATCCAATATTATTATTTTATGTCTTCCTTTTGGTAAATTGACTTTTCTTTGAGCGAAACTTTTTATTTTTGTTCGAACGACATCAATACCACGATCGTTTGATGCATTCATTTCTAGCACACCTTCACGAAATGCTTCACCAAGCATTTCACGGGCCAAACACAATATACTTGTTGTCTAAATAAATAAACCTAATTAAAAATTACAATTATTTCAGTAATCTTTTTAATATTCTTTTTAGAACAAAACTTCTGATTACGAAAGATTTTATTTTCCATAAGTAGAGAATTGATTCCTATTAACCATACACTTTCCATACGGTAATTGTTTTTCTCACTTACTTTTCCACATCCCGGTGGTCCTGAAATAATTATATTTGGTAAATTTCCTTGTTTAGCAAAATATTGTAATCTCGATATCGCATCTTCATTGCCAACAATATCACTCAAAACTTTTGGACGATATTTTTCTAACCATGGTGTGCGTATTTGTGTTGTTTCTGATTTTGATGTAACACTTGGTTCTTTGATACTCGGTATCGTTGCATTGTTACTGGTTGATGTCGGCTCATCATTTTCTTTTGTAACGTCCATCATATCAACATCAGAATCAAGAACAATATCTGAATCCATCTAGAAAGAAAATATAGCATTATTTTTCATCTACAATTGGTAAGGGCCAATTTAAAATAATTTTCCTTATACCAAAACAGTTCGTCCTTCAAATGAAGAAGTACTTGTTAAAAAGTTAGATGACATAACAAAAGGTCTTTCACGGTACTTCTGCATTGTGTGAAGCAATCAGTTAAATATATCCTGAAACTTTCCATTTAAAAAAGAAAAATTTCAGTACTCTTTATCACAGTATTTATTCTCGGAGGTGGATATTATCCGTCACTCTTGAGCAGCTGCATATATTTGGCGTTGAGAAGTAAGTGCGTCTAAAAGTAATAACTGTCTAACAGTAATAAGGAGGTAGTTAAACGAATATACGTTTTTCATTTCGCTCAGTCGACTGAATAAGAAAATTACTCTGATGGAAAGAAGCCTCGCTATTGATAGATATATTAGCCAGTAATTCTTCCACTAGATGGCGCAAGTAAGCTCTGATAAAAACCGAAATAGCTATAGTAAAACCTAGCTGAAACAGAAGTGAAAGCATGATGGAGTGAGATACCCAACAATAAATTACTCGAGAATTCTATTTCATGTAGTGGGGTATTAGTTTTTTAATTCTAATTGTTGGAGGTTTTCATAATGTAAAGTCTCTATAGTTTTACACAAGTCCCAACTTTTCATTTAGACGCTGTAATGGGCTTCTAAGACATCTGAATTTCCGAATGTAGACCAATGTTTTTATAGCATGATAGACCAGGAGGTTTGCCACTAAGCCATTACCCAATGAAGATACTTTGACCAAAGTTCTTCCTCTTCAAAACAGTCATCCATCGTCAATTAAATTACCACCTTCAGCTGTTCCTATTACGATCACAGGCAGCAGCATTATTCGTGATTTATTACCAGGTATTATGAATTATAATGATAAACTCTGTAATATAAAAATAAGAACTAAAGGTGGTGCTCTGATC